GTGTGGATTGTAGGCTGGTAATCCTTTGCTCTATGTCTAATATCCATATATGAGTGAGTACATACCATGCTTGTCTTTCTCTGACTGGGTTACCTCATTCAGGATGGTTTCTTCATATAGCCATTTTGTGAGGCCAACTGTCTTTGGACTCATGACCCTCTGTAACCCAGAGTGAGTCACACTAAATTCATTCTAAATCTGGAAATATTTTGTTTCCGTTCAAACATATTTACATCTGTTAATAGAGCTTTACAGTCAAGAATCTGCCTAGAATGTACAAGGTCTTGGGTCTAATTTCCAGCACTGTCACAAACAAACAAAGTTACATTACTTACCAGTCTTGGACATTGTCTTCAGTATCTCTTTGGAGGTGAGGTGCAGCACAGAACAATAGGTAAAAAATTATGTTTAGTTGTTACCACTTTAAGACTGAAAATACTGATAGGAAAATAATTGGATATAAAAAAGAGGAAGACATGCTTATTCTGCCGCTTCTATCTGTTACAGAAACCAGCATACAAAGGGGTGAATTTGGTACCTTTTATCGTCATGAGGATAGCTAGCACATGCTGTGCTCTCTTGGTTTATGCTGCGGGGTTGTGTTACTTGTTTGGGGCTTTTTGAGAAAAAATTTCAATTTATAGTCGAATATGGCATCAAACTTAAATCTACTGTCTCTGCATCCTGGATGTTTGCCGTCATACTTGCGTTTTTGCCATTTTTTAACAAAACTTTGATTAATGATTCATTTAAAATAAAGCAATAAAACCATTGCATGTGAACATAAATATTTTAATAACTTGTAGTCTAAGTACTAAATATAAATATATTTGTATTATATATGTACATATATAGTAAAGATATATAAGCAAACTACATTTTATTAAAGAAAGGAAAGTGAATGACTTATACCATTGCTTTACACTTTTGTCAGTCTTAACCTCTGGCTTAATAGAAGGTGGCTGGATTTTCATCCACTTTTGCTTCATCCTATTACGATTTCATATAATGTTACCTCTAGAAACTGCATGGACAAAGATCAATGTCTTCATAGTATTTAAAAATAGATTTGATCTTGCTGATCTACCAAGAATCAAAGGGTCTCAGGAGCTTGTTGAATTTTGAGAATTCCTGCTCTAAGAACCAGGTTTTTGAATATTTTTAATCAGAATTCTTCTGAGGACTAAATTTACAAATTATGTACAAAACTTACATAAGCACATAGAAAAACATATACCTACTTGCAAGAGTGTCACCTTTACTGTTTGCCATTCATCCTGACATAATCTTTTTTTTTTTACTTAATTTTATGTCATTAAAAATGCCCACTTATGATTTGCAAATTGATTTCATGTTGGCTGAGATGGTGGCTTGAAGCCCCCCCCCTTTAGGATGTTTGAATTGAAGAATTCTTTTGTCTGTGAGTCACGTTTCCAAGTGGTGATAACATGTGCTTCCACACAGGGTTAGGAGTCATCCCCTTCTCCTGTGAGCACTCAGGATTATCACACTTTGCATCCCTTCTACTTTGAAAAGTCACATTTTAATTTGTAGTTCTATGGCTGTTTCCTAACATTTAAAGTTGCTTATTTATCTCTTTGATCTATTTTTAAAAACTCAGCTATCTTTTTTCCTTAATTTTAAGTGCTTTGTATGTTTGATAACCAAGTCAATTATTGGTGTTTTCTCTACACATCCTCTCTCTCTCTCTCTTTCTCTCTCTCTCTCACACACACACACACAAAATATGCCTAACCAATTTTATATTTTAAACATTTATGTGTAAGGTTTAAGAATATTAAAAAATTTTACGTTGTTGGACAGCCATCTCTGCCCCTGTTGGTATACTTTATTAGTTAAATAATATAGATGGTAAATCTGTTTCACAGTAGAATTTATCTATTTGGAAAGAAAAATACACTTTGGATCTAAAAGGTCATTGTCAGAGATTCCATTCAGGTTTTGGAACTTTGAAGCATTCTGAAAGTTGAATTTTAAAATGCAGTTCAGACTTCGTTATAGGTAATAATAAATGCAGAGAATCATGGAAAGAGCAGGACTGAATTCAGAATTCATCAGTGCTGCCCAGAGCTTGTGAGCAGCTCCTGATTTAATAACTAAACCAGGCAGAGTTCAAGACATGGCCCAGAATGGAAGAGAAGACTGTCAGGGAGAATTAGGTTCTCTGTTGTATTGCACTTTCAGTGCTTTTGCTTTTTGGTGAGTCTTGTTTTATTTTATGGGCATTTATTATAATTTTGTCTAGGCAATTTATATCTTTTGACATTGACAGTAAATTTCCAATAGGAGTCTCATAGATGGAACTTCTATTTTTAAACAAATGCTAAGACAGTTTCACCAGTCCTAAGTGTTTTTCCCTTGTGCTAGAAACTGAGTATAGGCAAGTGCACTGTCACTGAACTGTATCCCTTGCCCTCCACTCCTCGTTTTTTACACTATTAACCTCATAGAGGTAAAGTAAACACCCATGCTTCCTAAGACTTACTGAAATCACATGTAGGGTCCTTGTTAGTTTTGTCAGGACTTATAGACTCTTTAGGTGTCTGGGGAAATAATCACCAGTACAAACAATGTCATCCAATAGGAAAATGACAAGGAGCCACTTCTGAGTACTGTCTGTATTTAGCAGGTATGGCCAATGACTACACCTTGCTCACAGATATCTTTTTAGGTCCCATAAAGTTTTAACTGTTGATCAGTACCCAAATTAAAATTTCAACTTCACTCTATCACTGTTACTAATCTTCAGTGACACTGGGCATTTGAGATCACAATGCTGTTTTGATGTCTACCACTTTCTTCATTCAAACAGTGGGTATCTTTCCCCCTCATCTTTTTTCTTTCTCTTACAAGAAAATAGTCTGTACTTTCATCTGAAAATTTTCTCTCTTCTCCACTATATTCAATACTAATATTGTAGAAAGAGACTGTTTTCTGGCTGACAGAGGCCCTTTTTTCTTAAGCAGAGTCTGTAGGTTTATCTGTAGCAATTCAGCCCTGGTTTATGGCTTTGACAATTAGGTTATTTAATGGCCACTCATTTATTTCTTTTCATCTGGGTAATCTTTGTCATGACTTTGAAATTCTTGTCCCTTTTCTCTATATAGGATATAAGGAGACCCAGCTCTCACTTTGTGCAGTGTTTTTCTCAGAGTTTTTGTTATTTCAAGTCTCAGCTGCCTTGGCCACCCTCTGCTCTGAGTTTCTTGTCTAGTCCTCACTCATTTTCTGCCATTTCTCTAAGGAGACAGACAGATCTCTGTCTCTCTGTCCCCCCCCCCCCCCTTCTTTGCTTCCCTCAATAAACTTTCCACATTAAACAAAAGGAAAGGAAAGAAAAGGAAAAGAAAATACCTCTAGGATAAAAAAGGGATAGGGCAATGCTACCTCATCTTCTGTGGTTCTTTATCTTCCTTACATCCATCTGCCTTGGGCATCCCCTAATACCTTCCTGCTATTTTTTCAGACTTATCTCAGTGTTTTTAAGTGTTATCACTAAGGTAGAGTTGCCATTCTGCTTTTCTTACCTATTGTCTCTTTTTCATCATGGGTTCCCCAAAAGAAGTACTACAGATCCCCTTGGAAAACAAAAGAGGCTTCCTTGTTTTCTTGTCACACAGTTACTATATAGGAAGCCAGGTTACTTTAGAGAGCTTTAGAAACTTAGCCCATTTTCTTAAAGGGGCCACGTCGTTTGAAAGAAGCCATGTGTCTGTGGCCATCAGTATGGTGCTTTTAGGCAGATGGAATGATTTTCATTCCACATATTTGGAAGTTGTTGCACCACAATTTAACTTGCCTATCCAGTTTTAGAATGAAGAAAGGGGTTGGGTTTTAACAGTAATGTTTAAACTTTATCTTAACCCTTTGTTGTAGGAAAACATTAGAGAAGAAATGCCACACTCAGTTTTCTTCCTTGTATTTATTAGAAATGTGGTTGCTAAAATGGAAACCAGTTGTCTCTCAGCTAATGCTGGTTTAGCACAGTTTTGAATGAAGCATCTTTTTTTTTTTTTTTTTTTTTTTTTTTTTTGGTTTTTACGAGACAGGGTTTCTCTGTATTGTTTTGGAGGCTATCGGTCCAGCCCAGCCTCGAACTCACAGAGATCCGCCTGCCTCTGCCTCCAGAGTGCTGGGATTAAAGGCGTGCGCCACCACCGCCCGGCGAATGAAGCATCTTGAAGCTCATAAACACCACTTTATTTGGGCTTTAAATGAAACCCTGACAAAGTGATGAATTCAAAATAATCTAAATACCAAATAATTTTTTTTATTTTTTAATTTATTTTTTGGTTTTTCAAGACAGGTTTTCTCTGTATTGTTTTGGAGGCTGTCGGTCCAGCCTGGCCTCGAACTCACAGAGATCTGCCTGCCTCTGCCTCCCAAGTGCTGGGATTAAAGGCGTGCGCCACCACCGCCCGGCCCTAAATACCAAATAATAAAGACGCGATTTATTTGAATGTTACTTTTGAATACTTTAGAAAAATAGAGAGTTGCTTTAAATGAAATAGAAAAATCATTACAGGTGAAAGGAATAAGAATTTATGGGATAAAATATTCTCATATACTTGCTAATCATGAATATGTGATCTGGCATTCCTGGCATTAATATATAGGGTTATGATTTCATTATGAAATATCATTATTAAACTGCGAGAGAAAAGGACAAATTTAAGCGATAATGTGGGGCATAGAGGGATTGTGGTCTGCCTGAGGAGTGGGACTTGTCTGTCTTCTCTCTCCCATGGGAAATTATCAGACTCAGAAAACATTCCATGAATGAGTGAATGGTTGGATATGTGTAAATATGCTGGTAATTTTATGGTACAAAGGTGATTTTTAGAAGATTTAGTTTAGAGATTTCTTTTTTACTAATATTGACTATGACTTATTTGTTCTTATTCTCATAGGCAGAGTGTTTACTGGCTCAAGCACGTGAAAAGCTAGTTAGAGACTTTCCTAATGACTTGTTCTTTCAGAACCACATGATCAAAGAACTGGAGGGCCGTGTACAGCAACTGACGGGGGAAGCAGAGAACAGCAACTTACAAAGGCAGAAATTGATTCAAGAAAAACTGGAGCTTGAGAGATGTTACCAGATGACCTGTAGTGAATTACAGGAACTAAAGACCAGGTAGTGCTGAGTCAGCTGTCTGTGGGTACCAGCACTGGCTGACTTTATAAATGGCTTCCAGAATCACACAGACTTTGTGCAGTAAATCTTAGGATGTTCCACCTATAGAGGATTGTTTACAAATTCCTAAAAAGTGTTTTAGAACATAATGTTTGAAACCAGTTGATGAAAATATGGACACTTACTTCATATGTTGAAAGATAATAAACTTGAATTTAGCTGATTAAGATATCCATTTTAGAAATTGGCTCCAAAGCTATGGAGAATCATCTTTTTTATCCTACTGTTTTAGGCGTAACATACTACATAAGGAGAAAGAACATCTTGCAAATGATTATGAGCAAAATGTGAAATTATTAAAAACCAAATACGATTCCGACATAAATCTCCTAAAACAAGAGCACGCGCTCTCTGCTTCTAAGGTATTGTATGTGGGGGCGGCCTGGTTTACATGAGTGTTCCGCTGTGAACAGCCATGAGAAGCCAATAATTTCCAACTGAAATTAGCCCCTTTGACATTTGCTTCTTGAAATCACAAGACTTCAGAGCATTTGCTGCTGTTTAGAACACCGGAAACACTAGTGTCTCCTAGTTCACAGGTCACCCAGTAGCTGGTTCTGCTAGACACAGCCCTGTTGAGCAGTAAGTTTTGAAGGAAGGCATTCTCAGAAATGCTTCCTGTGGCTACTCTGCACATATAGTGCTGTTGTTTTGAAATGTTTGTTCTATTCTATTCTTACTTATAAATTTCTAAAATTTTCTATAAAATTTTAATTCAGCGTTATATTTTCATAGCATTAGATACTATGCAGATTATAATTTACATTTTTACTTCAAAATATAAATTTTTGGCTCTAAATGGTATTCCAGTTTCTTCTCAGCTCACTGTCCCTCTTGCAGTATTCTTAAAGTAGATCTAAGTTTAATATTATGCTTAAAATATTTTTTTCAGATTTGTAGATAACTTAGATTCTGACTGAACTTTCAGGGGTAAAATGGTATGCTTTATGTCAGCCTTAAGTGTGGGATCTCTGCTCTGTGTTCTGCTACCCTCACAGACATCTGGTGTGATTGAAGAGTTAGAACAGAACATCTGTCAATTGAAACAGCAGGTCCAGGAGTCAGAACTCCAGAGGAAACAGCAAGCAAAAGTGAGTCTGCTTTAGCTAGATCCGTGCCCCAGTTCCTTTACTTTCTTGATCAGTGTCAGAAATGAGAGTCAATTAAAAAAGGAACTTACCCCTGAATGTGGTGTCAGTGAGGAGGCCTAGGTAATCTATGGGGCCTTAGGTATTTATCCCTGGTGTACAAATGCCACAATATGAGAGGCTCTCTCAGCCGGCACTCTTGAGGAAGGGCCTAGGCCCTGCCCTGGATGAAATGACAGTCACTGGAGATCCACCATGGAGGGCCTCACCCTCCCTGGGGATCAGAGTGGAGATTGGGTGGGGGCTGGGGGACCTGGTGAAGAGGGAGGGGGAGAAGAAGAGGGAGAGGAAGCTGGGATTGACATGTGAAACAAGCTTGTTTCTAACTTAAATTAAAAAAAAAAGGAACTTAGAAAAGTCCTGTGAAAGTAGCTATTTCTGATTGTATTCCTGACATTTTACCTCACAGATGAAGAGGCTAATGATTTGAAAGATTTGAAAGATCTCTTTTCTGAGGTTAGTTTAGAAATAAATAGAATAAGATCTTGAAATTTTCAGAAAAATAGATGAATTTGGAAATTCTAATATCAAGCAGGGGGACCAAAATGTATAAATATAAACCCTGAATATTTTCTCTGATATGAATGTAGTTCCTAGCCCATTATGTGTATATGTGTGTGTAGGAATGTGGGTAAAACCTAAAAAACAAGAAAGGATACCAAGGCATGGTAACGGTAGATGGAGTTGGGAAAAGGGCATATGGAACATGGAAGAGGAAAGGATATCGGGTGAGAACAGCAGGGACTATGAGTAGCAGAGCAATGGGGACAGTCTACCAAAATACTTTGTTCAAAATGCCACGATGATATCTAATGTGTTGTATGGCAATTTAAAATAAAATTATCAAAACATATTAAAATTAATGTATTAAATATAAATTAATATTTTAATATGTTAATATTTTCAAAGATTTATTTATTTTGTGTGCGTTGGTGTTTAACCTATATGTGTGTCTGTGTGAGGGTGTTGGATCCCCTGGAACTGGAGTTACAGACAATTGTGAGCTGCCATATGGGTGCTGGAAATTGAGTCTAGGTCCTCGAATAGGGCATATATTAAATTATATATATATATGTATTTATATTATTTGCTGTTCTTTCTACATCTTATTAGTGTAGTATCCCATCAAATTTTTGTTTGATGTAGAAAAATCTCTTTTGTAAGTATATTATTTTAGAAAAATTCTCCCTTTTAAGTTCTCAGATTCCATTGTCTTTCCTTCTCCCTTTCCCTTTTACTCACAGCGTTAATTTTGTCTCAAAGAGCATCAAGAATGAGGATAGCAAATAACTTCATAATTGTCATTGCCATCTTGCCTTAGTTGCTCTTTCCTAGTCTTACCTTAAAGGTCACAGTGACCCTTGTCCTTAAGGACAGCAACATCTTTATATAGCTAGGGTTTTATGTCTTGTAATGTAGAGTTGCTGATGTCCCTTTTGTGACTTAGAGAATTAGGTGCTTAGGTCTCTCTTAGTGAGCAAACAAATATCATGCAACACACTGAAGTAAAGTTTGACATCAAGTGCATCCATTGCTTTTATTGGGTCACTCATTTTATTAACTTTAAAGGTAATATAAAACATACTAAAATAAACATTTATCATTTACAGGAACAAGAAAATAAGTTTCAAATGGAGAGGAATCATTTAAAACACACCTATGAAAAAAAGGTAATATGTTTTATTTGAAATTATAAACATTTAAAATAAAAACTTGAACGGTTAAGGGGAGCTGATTTATTAAAGTAATAGTACTTTAGGCAGCATTATAGAGATTTGTGACTGACATTTCAGTTCTGAAATTGTTTTCTATTAGACTTGGAAAATAAAGGCAGTTGAAATAACAAAGGTTTTATTGATAGTTTTGTTATTACTTTTAATATTTGCCGAATGAATCCACATGTAAAATATACAGACAATAAAAAATGAGGTTTACCCTTCCATTAAAATATATATAAACTAAAGCTAGCCCTAGTATGTATTACAGCATTTTCAATCCATTTTGTAACACATCTTTTTTTGTCTACCTAGTTTTTCTATAGATACCCTTTAAGTGATTGGACAAAGCATCATCTTAGGCACTCTGCTGTCTAAGAGCTTAAAACATCCAAGAGATGTATAGGATAGAATGTGGTCATCATTAATAGAAAAGGATTTCTTCTGATGCATATCGATCTGTGTTTGTGTGCTTTCTATAATTGTAATTATTTTCTTATTCATTATAATTCAATGTAAGGTGTTTAGTATATTTTATATCTAAAAATATTATTTGAACAGGAAGAAGAAATAATGTTTTATTGAAGTATTTCAGTTACTATTGCTGAGAAATGCAGTTCCTTAAATATTTTGCTTACCAAAAAACAAGCAAACCTAGAAGTCTTCCCCACTGTGTGTAAGGTATTGGGTTGGTCTGGGTGTACTGTTCACCCATCGTGCCCTGTGAAGACCTCTGGCTTCTCTTCCATTATGAAACACCTTTCTGGCCTGTTGTTCTTTTGCTGTTTGTGCCAGCTTTTCTCTCATTTGCTGGCCTGTGGAACAGCATGGACTGGTGTTTAGGAACAAGGCACACCTTGAGAACTATGCCATAAAGAGACAGACCCAGATAACCTTTTCTTCTATTGTTTTCTTGAGTTTTTGGCCACGTAGTAAACTTAAGATTCTGCTATCAGCCTTTCACCCTGGTGAATAGATTAAAGGAAAGCAATATGAGAATAGGTTTTGTAACTGGAGCTTAGGACAAAAGCCCACATTGCAGCAGCTACAGAAGAAATGTGTTGTCATCTCCAACACACTGCAGAGCCAGGCAGTAGTGAAAAACAGAAAGGGGACTTAATCGGCGGAACAGGAAAAGTGGCCCAGCGACCCCACACCATCTTCTGGGAATAGACATGAGCTTTAGGTTTAAACAGAGACAGAATTATGGTTGGAGGCTAAGTGGTATGCATAGTTCAACAGTCCTGGGCCCTCTGTGGTCAGCATCTCAGCTCTAGTTCTGCAAGGGGATCTGAAGAAGTCTTTATTGCTTGAGGGAGCAAACTGACTCCTTGGAGAAGCTTGTTCATGCTCCAGGGATCTATTCTGCTAGACTACTGTTCTTGGAGTCAAGGTTCAGAACAATAACTGGAGACTGTTTAGCTCTTTTTGGGGTCTGGAACAAGGACAATGAAAAGCTGACAGTAAGATTCCTCAGTTACTCTTGTCCTTGTGCTTTTGGTTTGAAAGGTGCTAAGGTAAATTAGGTAGCACTGGATCCTAGACAGATTTGCCTAGAATAAGGACCCCTGACTGCTGCAGAGGTTAGTAAGTGACCTAAAGGAAGGGAGGCAGATGCAAAATGAAGATGGAGGGCCAGGCTTTCATGTTGCCTTCAATTGCCTTGTGAGCTCAAGTGGAGAGTCAATGCGTTTGTCAGGAATGGCAATGTCTAAGTGCCTGTTATAATTCCATTTTTATCAGTGATCTGCTGGTACCCCTGTTGTAGTTTACCCTGAAAGGAGACTAAAGCCTCTTTATTAGGCATGGTGACTACAGCTCTTCCCTTTCCAAGAGCTTTCAACTGACCTCACTTTTAAGTAAAATTACAAGAGTACACTTTGCTGTTCTGAATGTAAGCATGACTTGTTTAAAAACAACAATCTCTCGAAGAAAAAAAATTGTTCATATTGCAAATGTTAGGTATTGTTTATATTGAAAGAAAAGACTGCTCAGTGTGTCACTTTTTGTTTCACAATTAATTCCATAATCTGCCCTTTTAAATTGACATCTGTTCTTCTTTCTTTATTAAACCTGCTGTGATCGCAAGCCTTGAAGATTTGATGTCTTGTACCCCCTGAGGGGATATCCTTCTGACAGCTCAAGAGCTGACAGAAATCTCACATATGGACTGGACTGTGTAACTGGATAGCTAAATGGGATGTATAGGGCTTTTGTCTTGAGAGTGTTACAGGTGTGCACATTCAATAACTTTCCGTATAAAATGTGGTTCTGAATATCTGCTCAGAAGGAGGAAATGCCATCTGAATGACATTATTTCCTCATGCCAGTGGCAAGCAGCAGGATGGGAGCACACCATCCCACTTGTCTTTGAGGTGGAAGAAACAGCATCAGATGCTGTCCCTAATTTAAGCACACACATATTATCTCATGGTCTTTATTGATCTCTGGTGGCTGTTGCCTGCTCTTCAGATCTTTGAACATCAAACAAATAATAGGCCATAAAACTAAACGTCATTGTTTGATGAAGTGTCCTAATCTGTTAAATCAGGAAATGGCTAGAGTAAATGATTTTACTAGTAAGGAAACACCTGCCTCCTACAAATAACCTAGTGCTTGTTTTCCAAACAGGCACTGGGAGTAAAGAATGATGGTGCTGTTTACCCAGAGAGCAACACAGGCAGCTGCTCACATGCACAGGCCAAACCGTGCTAGACTTGACTTCCCTCCTAAAGTCATTGTCCTGACTGTTCACAATGTAATGTGAGTTCCAAACACACTAAAGTACAGTTTTTCCAGTGCTTAGCTTTCATGTGTACTTTGTATAATTACATGTAAATAATTTGAAAATGTTCCCAGCAGCTTTATATGTAAAGCATTAGATTGTGTATTTAACTGCTACTGACACAGTTATCTTTATAAGGATAGGTGCCTTTCCCAAAGTCAGAAAAAAAGAAATGAGATTGTGCTCACAGTATTTAATAAACTCATGCAATGACATCGCCCATATTTTTGATACCGGGCTATTGGTGATTAGCGTAGTTAAAGGGACAGTGCTGCTGTCCATCTGGTTGGCTTTGGGACCAGCCCCAGCTCCGTGCTCTTTGCTATGCTCAGTTTTATACTCCATTGTGATTCTTTATATTTATATTATATTTGGGGGATGAAATGGAGCATAAAACATATTTATCATATGTTCAATAAATGTGCTTGTGGCTGCTGAAATCAACTTACAGTTTGTTAGTAAACTAGGTGCCTTGACTACCTTAAATACTATAGTTCAGTATTAACTATATATTGAGGAAAGATTAGAAATAAATCTTATTAAATCTTACTCTACATTACTGTTGGGCAACATAACAATACTGTGCTATAAATAAATAAACATACAAATGAAAAAGAAGTAGAAATAAAAATAAAAGGTAGAGATTGGGCAGTAGCATCATCTTTATGTTGTTTCTTAGTTTTATGTGAAAACGATCTATATAATATTCCCAATATAGTCATCCATCAAATCAGTATGCATTAATTACTTGCATGGTATTTAATTATGTATTATCTTCAAATACTTGAAATATAAATAAAAATAAAGGTGTAACTAAGAAAAGGATCTCAAGCATGCAAAAAAAAATCTGTGGCGAGGAAACAAACACAGAACACCCTTTAATGACTTCTCTAGTTTGCGTCAGGGATGCTGGGCACTGAGTAACTTAAGTGAGAAACAGCTTAAGAGCTTGTGCAGCAGTGCCTGCCTTCTTGCCTAGAGGGGAGCCCTTCTTCCCCCACCCCCATTAGTTCCCTCTCCCTTCAGAAGTAGGATAGTCTTAGAAATGTTTCTATCAAGGTAAATGTGTCACACACTAGCCAGCATTGAGAAGTGGAAGCCCAGATCTGAACCAGGTTAAGATTGTGTAGAGAGTGATACAGAGCTCTTACAAAGACACAGGTTACTTGGCCTTCAGGGTTAGCTTTCTGAAAGGGCAAATGGCCTGTGTACTGTGTACATCTGACTGCTGTTCATAGTGACCTGGAGAAATCAAGAAATACTCTAGTGTTCAATGAAACATAGTAATTACAATTTTTAACACTGACTCAGCATTTCTTATGTTCTCGTACGAGAGCTTTACCTCAAGTAATTCTCCTTTGTCAGAGTACTTTGATATGGTTATTGTTGATCCCCATTCGGGACTGAGACACAGCATGCTAAATAACTTGAAAAGTGGGGATATGACCATTTAAACTCATAATTCTAGCTAGAGTTTCCAAAAAGAAAACCTTAAAGTTTGTTTATATTCCAATTTTACATGCTCAGTATATGTCAAGCATTGTATTTATATGTACCAGGAACCTATAAGAAGTGAGACAGCAACTGAAGTCTGAGTCTGGTAAATTGTGACCATTCTTCTCTTTTTTCCTATGTAAAGTAAAATAAATTTAGTGGTAAAGATGTTCAGGGTGCAGTGATTCTTCTCATCATAAGAAAAATAAATAGTATTTATGAGATATTTTAAGTTGATCACTGCAGTGCCAGGAAGGGGTGCTGTGCTGCTGATTCTCCTGGTCACGTCCGCCCTCCCAGCATGTGTAGTCTCCTCTACTTCTCAGCTCTGGCTTCACTTGGTGGTTGCATCATAGAAACTAGCAGAGGCTTTTTTGATATTATGAAAAATTGCCTCTCTGGTCTCACTGCTTTTAGTTACAAGAATATAGCTGATTTTACTAATTTATTTACCTTACACAAAGGGAAAAATTCAAGATGATTAGAAAAAGAAAGGCCAGAAAACTGTGGGATTTGTGTAAAATATGTCCCCAACCAAACTGGTTAAAAATAGCTAACTACTTTTGGTTAATTCCAATGGCTTTAGCGTGCATGGGTGTGGAGGGGAGGCAGTCTGTGTGTCTGTGTATGATTCTTGTCATTCCTTTCATCTCACTGTCCATCAGGTTCATGTTCAGTGCTATGGTGGTGTCTAGAAGGTTTGGAAGTGCTGCTTTCAAACACTGAGTAGAGAGTTTTCTTAGCACTTAGGAGGCTCTGGAGACTCAGAAGCCTCACTGCTGTGTGCATACAACTGCACTATCATTCACTTTTCCTTTTCTGCCCAGCTGCTCAAAAATTTCTTTTCTGTATTGTGATGTCCCTATAATGTTCACACGGAGTAGTCACACTTCATATTGGAATGTGTGAAGAGAATTTCTTTTCTGTACTATGATGTCCCTATAATGTTCTCACAGAGTAGTCACACTGCACATTTGAATGTGTGAAGAGAATTTTTCTTTAGCCTACTCAAAGGTTGCTACAGAGGCAATCATGATGGGCACTTTGTTCCAAACTTGGTAGATGGGTGCGCAAGTCATGCTTAGTAATGGCAGACTTCATAATAGCCCTCCTATATCTCATTAATATAGACACATTATTTGTTCTAGTCTTTTCAATCCTATGAAAATTCTTTCTTTTGTCAAAACTCTGATTGTTTTTTTGAGACAGGGTTTCTTTGTGTAATAGGTTGGCTGTCCTTGAATTAATTCTGTAAACCAGGCTGGCCTTGAACTCACAGAGATGCATTTGCCTCCCAAGTACTGGGATTAAAGGTGTGTGCCACCACTGCTGGGCCAAAACTATGATCTTTTAAAAATCAAAGTGATTGATGCATTTTTGAAGTTGATGTATGCAATTCATTTGTAAGTAAATCTAATTATTAGCTTTGAATTGAAAGGTTATATTAGATATAGAAGATTGAAATTATCCTATGGTTAAGCAGGTTTCTCTCATGAAATACCTAAATCTGAATTCTTACCCCAGTGGATCGAGATTGTTTCTTCATATCTGAGTGTCCTTGCCTTCCAGTGAGTTTCTTGTGCTCTCTCTGCAGGTTAATGAACTGCAGAATGAACTTGATAAGGAAAAAGAAGCTACTCAGAGGAAGATCCATAAATTTGAGGAAGCTCTGAAGTGAGTAAGACAAAGTCACAAAATATTTAATGTGGTAAAAATTGCTCTTCATTGGGACTGGAGAGATGGCTCAGTGGTTATGAGTATTAGTCTCTCTTCCTCAGGCCCTGGGTTCTATTCTCAACACCTACTTAGTAGCTGACAACTTCCTGTAACTTCAGTGCCAGAGCATTCCAAGCCCCTTATAGCCTCTGTGGATCCTGGATGCATGGATGCCCTGCCATACAAACAGGCAAAATGGCTGTGCACTGAAAATAAAAATAACACTATTAAAAAACAGACAAGTTACTCATGCTACACTGAAAGCCAAATTAACTAGATTGTGAGTGTCATGTTTCACAATAGCCTTGTAGGGTATTGCTTTGCATTGCGTTCTCATTGTGGATCTCTGTTTTCAGACTTAGTCTACTAGTTGATTTTTTTCTTAAACAGAAAAACCATTTCAGCTGTTTTTAAGTGATAGGAATGAGAGAAAATAGAACTTAGTGGTTTCAGATGCCCTCTTCCTCTTAAGTGGAAACACATTTTCACAAAATGAGATTTAGGTCTTAGGGCCTTTAGAATTCACTGTGCAGATTTTGTTGGGTAATAAAGTGTTTTAGTTGTTATGTTCACAAATGCATTACTACCTAAGCATTGTTTAGGAAGGGCTTTATCTCCTGACCCAATGCGTAAAGGTACATGACATTAAAGCTTGCCTTTCCCATCCACTTACTTAGGTTGAGTGAACTGTTTGACTGTCTTTGTTTTTTACTATGAAAGTTATAGCTGGAAAATACTGACTTACTTAATAAGTACGCCATTCTTAGCATACATCAGGCAGTGTAAGAAAACACATTCCCAGAGGACCTTGTACCATTTGGGAGGCTATTTAAGAAATTTGGCAGAACAGAGCAGAAGGAATTTTACTGGAGGAAGGTCAGTGTGGCACCTGATTCAAGGGATGCAAGGGAGGATGCGCTTGCCCGAGGTCAGTGTGCCTAGCTAATTTGTTTTCTTTCCTGAACCTCCAAACTTCAGGCATTTACAGAACTGCACCTAAGGACACCTCCCATCAAGCATCTTTGTTTCACATTCTTCCTGGGAATACTGCAGCCCAGCTCTTCCCCTTACTTTGTTTATTAGTAAGATACATTGGCTTACTTGGTAAACGAGCATCTTAGAATAATTTATGTACTATGACATCACAAGAAGTAATGTTTTTATCTACACAAGGACTTGTTGCTTATTTGTTCACATCATCTATGAACCAGATGCCATAAAGGGGATCAAAAGGCAAGCAATTATACTCATTAAACATTAAATTGTCATCTTGATTCATTACAAGACTAACACTCATCAAGGGCTTGAAAGGACCGTACCAAAATAACAAATTTTATTTAGAGTTAAAAGAAACTATTTTAGACTTTAAGTAAAATTCCCTGGTAGATTCGTGCCTGCCATCCCCTAGGTAGTCAGTGTCTTCCTGTTTGAACACTTGCCTGATGGTCTGAACAGTTTAGTACCCAGTATAGCAGCAATAACCAAGATGGAAAATAACAGAGGAAGTCATCATGAAGTCAGGACTCCAGAATAAATAACAGAAGCTGGCTATGTTCCAAATGGAGAATATTCCAAGGAGTGACTGTGAACTTCTGTTGTTCTAAAAATTGTGCTATTCCGTTGACCTAAGTATGATTTCATTTTGCAACCCTATGACTTCTCCCAAACTTTTTTCTTAAATAAATATGCATAAAGGTAGAAACAATCTTGTGTTTAGATTGTGGTGTTACGCCTTCATGTAGTTATCTTCCCTCAGTTCATTTAATAAGGGCTGTTTCTTATGCGCAGTTAAATGGATAGTTGAGGATGGCAGAGAAGGCAGAAGTATGTATGTAAGTTCATATTTGAGTATCTAACGAGTTTAGCATAATACCTAAAGGCCTGTCAGAGAGAAGGAGCTCTTTACCTGATTTCACAGACCATGGGGACATGGGAAGCTCTCCTGGGTGTTGATCTCTTCCTGTCTGGAGAACCTACCTGCCCTGGCCGGTCTCACTTCGTTTCCATCTGTGAGCTTACTCAGAATGATGTCTCCCCTTGCCACCTCACCTCTTCAGATACGCTCTTTTGTTTCTCTCTTGGAATTCCATCCCAGAATTTTGTAACCATGTAAATGTATTCTTGTTAATTAGAGTGCTATATAATGATTAAGATGCTAGTAAAGAGATGTGTGACATGAAGACTTGAAGGGCTGGGGAGTATATGAGATGATGCTGATCCTCTCTTCAAGCCATTGAAATGGCCAATTTAGTCTTTGGCTTCAAGTTCAACTTGATATTTCAAAGCTATTGCCATTGAAAAGGGACACTTTGGATTGCATATTAGTCACTTTTCTTGTCTCTGTCCAGGAAAGGAAAGGCCTATTGGCTCCTGGTTTTAGAGGTTCCTTCCATCATGTCAGGGAAGGTGTGGAAGAGCACAGTGGGTCACTTGATGGCAGGCGAGGAGGCAGAGATAAGTGTGTCTGTGCTCTGCTGGCTCCCCATTCACCACTTGTATTCTACAGGAGTCTCCAGCCACTGGGTTGGTGCTACTTGTGTTCAGCATGCATCTGCCCTGTTCTGCCAATCCTCTGGAGATGCCCACAAGTACTCTTCACCAGTCTTCTAGGTGATTCTCCATGCAGCAATGTTGATAATGAAGACTAGTCATCAGAGATTGCAATCAGTATTTCCCTTTGAATGTTAACTCTAGAGCACTCACTTACTTGTCCCTGCTTTTCCATTCTGTAGTCTCGTTCTCTATATGGTTTGGTCATTTTTCTTTCCTGTTTGATTTTAATTATAGAAAGTAGTTTTAATACTTTCATGTACCTAAGTTACCTGAAGCTGTAACTGTAAATGTCATGAATTGTATGTTTTTTTTATTTTTCAAATAAAGACTATAGGAAACTCAGTAGACTACACAACTAGAAAGTGATTGCATATAACAGAACAATTCAGTGTTACTGCTTGAACAATTAACATGGCAATACAATTGTTCCTTTTTTTTGAGCAGTTAAAATTTGTCAGCAAAGAAAGGAACTGGGCTTGATTCCCAGACCAAAAATAACTAGATAAATATAAGTAAATTAAAATCTCTCAGCAGATATAGATGGTAGGTTTACTTTATTTCCTTTTTATATTCCTGCATTTATTAAATCTGATGCTAAATTGTAGGAACTAAAAAGTAATAAGGTGTGGATTGAAGTTATGTAGAAACTTTCCCAAATTCCTTTCTTGCAGTAAAATTCAAAAGGTGACATGAAATATATTTATACTATTTTACCTCTTTGCATTTTTGAAAACCAAAACTGTATAGACAAGTTGTGTGATTCTCAATAATACTAGTAATGTAAAGTAGTAACTTATTTATCTCACAAATCTAAATGTGGAGCAAAAAAGCCTGGTACAAAACAGTTCATTCTATATGATCCTATTTATGCATAAGTAAAAAAGATAAAAGTCATGGTCTGAAGAAAAGAAGAATCATAATGTGACCAACATAAAATTGTATGCATACACGTGCATTTTTGTTGGACATAGTCCTCCATCAAACTTTTAATGTGTTGTCAGGAAAGACACAAATAGGAGAGTAGCCCTACAAGCAGACCCTGAATCTGGCAGAACTTGACTGTTCAGTGGTGTTTGTAGAGCAGCTGCAGTGAGTGAGAGCCCCAGGGAAGAATGAATGAAGGCCTTTCATTTCTTTTGCTCACCCAGCTCTTCTCTTGAATCTCAGTGTAACGAGAATTCCCATGCCCTTGAGAGCCCCAAATAAACACACAAGACTTATATTAATCATAAAATTGTTGGCCAATGGCTTGGGCTTCTTATTTACTAGCTCTGTCTTAATTATTAACCCATTTCTGTCTAAGTATTTCCAAATGGTCTTATCTTTCGGGAAAAGGGTCCGGACCTCTAACTCCTTTGGCGGCTCATATGGTGACTGTTAAGTGTCTCAGCAGAGAAGAGAGGAATTTCCTGTTTGTCCCTGCTTATATCCTGATTCTGCCCAGCTCCATCACACCTGTCTGTAGGTACTGACTTCCAGGCTTCTGTGGTTAGCTAGTGACAAGTTTCTGCCCAGCTATATCATTTCCTGTCTAGCCAATCAACCAATCAGCATTTTATTCATTGACCTGTAAAAGAAACATATATGAAGAAGAACATTCTCCACCCCTTCAGACGCTGAGAGCATACTTTCCATGAGCAACTTCATTCATTGAGAAGAACCTGACTCAAGTGTTCTAAGTCATGCATCTGCATGTTAACAAGGGCTGATTATAACTGAACAAGTGTTGCATGTAAAGAAACGATGTGAGACATTCTTTGTGGCTTACTTGACTAAATTTACAAACAAATATATATACACATGAACATTCACATATATAAAAATAGTCTTTCAAATAAAGGTTTCTGTTTTTAGCTTTCTTAAAAATGTCTATATTTTTCATATGTTAACCAACTTTTCTGGTAAAATTTCAGTTAGTGTGACTAAGCCTAAATGGGGTTATGAAGCAATTCAATTCAGAATGTTCTTGAATTATGTTTCTGTTTGAACTGTTTTGAAGCCTATTGTCAATGCTAGTAATAGTCAACAAATGTTTACCATCTCATTGAAGGCCAAACTATGAAGTTGTATGTGTATGAGGAAATTAGCTGGCCATATTCTTTGCCTACTTTTCCTAGTTTTGTTTAAAGTTTCAGGTAGTGGGAGCTCATGGACTATATGGACTGACAGCTGGGGGACCTGCATGGGAATGAAGTAAACCTTCTGAATGTGGGTGACAGTTATGTGATTTGATCTGTTAGAGGGTTCCCTGTCAGTGGTACCAGTACCTATCCCAGGTGCATGGACTGGCTTTTTGGATCCCATTCCCCATGGTGGGATACCTTGCTAAGCTTTGATACAGGGAGGAGGGAGCTTGGTCCTGCCTCAACTTGGTTTGCCAGACTTTGTTGTCTCTACAAGGAAGG